CATCAGATTTAAATAGAAAACCTATTACCAAAGAAAAAATTAACTTCATGTGCATCACATGTCATTCTCATAAATTTGAAATTGCTGAAAAATGAAAATGACGGGTAATTTTCGAAACTAATTGAAAAATAACAAATAGGAAATATTTAAACAATAAAAAGAAAATAAGGAGAAATATAAATCGTAGAAACACAGCTAATTATGATGGGCTGGTGGTAGGCAACACAATTCAAGAAATACTAGTATAAAGTTAATTTTGAAGTACATTGTGATAGAAAGAAATATTAGGAAATTTATATGTTGTTAAAAGATAAAATATTTGAATGGTTTTTTGAGTTTATAATGTGTCATATACGCTTCAAAATTTTTAAATATCCTTTTTTTTTTAATTTGAGACAAGTTATCGTATAGGGAAAATATACTGTATTAATTTCTTGAACACATCAAATTTAAGACAAACTAGTAGCAAATTAAACACATCAGGAGAGTGTTTGTGTGTGTGTATATATATATATATATAGTTGAAACATTCTTGTGAACTACTCCTTCCGGTCCAAAATAAGTGATTTTTTGGCCTTTTTTTTGTGGTCCAAAATAAGTGATTTTTCCAGATTTCAAGAATGAATTAATTATTTTTTTTCCTACTTTGTCCTTGGAGTAAATAGTGTTGGAATATGTGTTAGGAGTGTTTATGTGAGATAGTAAAGGTTAGTAAGGTCAATTTCATTGCTAATTAATGCTAAAAGGTGAATTTCTTAATCTGTGTGAAAACATTTAAAAAATCACTTATTTTGAACCGGAGGGAGTATATATGAATTTACTAACACAGGACTATAATAAATGAGTGTTACTTGATGACCAATATTTAAATTTTTATTTGTTGAAATAATTTCATTTTACTTGTTTAAATGATGTAGAATGAACCAAAGGAAATTGAATTGAGTTTTAAAGCACACAGAGAAAAGGAAAACAGTCAGGGAAGGGAAAAGGAATGGTCCTCTTAAAGTTAAATGGACACGTGGCAACAAGCTATTCCATCTTTTGTCTATCTTTTTCTTTAATTTTTTCGTTTTTTTTTTTTATTTTTGTAAAACTCAATAAATTGTACACAAATTTCAAACTTTATCTGATTTTGGATTTTTGGAAGTTAACTTTGCCTGGCAGTCATGTTTTCTTTAGGAGAACAATCACAAAAAAGAAAGTGCCATGTGGACCCTCCTTTATTCTTTGTTGGTCGGCCATGTGGACCCCACTTTAAATATTTTTAAAAAGTAAATTATAATGATTGAGAAAACCGTTTAATTCCGTAATTCATACTCCCTCCGTTGCAACTTACGTGAACCTATTTGACTGGGAATTGAGTATAAGAAAAAATGAAGACTTTTTGAATTTGTGATCCTAAACAAGTCAAAAACGGATCCAGGGTATTTGTGTGGTTACATAAGCTTCTCATTAAGGGGTAGAATTGGAAGTTAAAGCTAAATTGTTTTCAAATTTAGAAAGGGTCATTCTTTTTTTAATGGACAAAAAAGAAAATAGGTTCATAAACTGGAACTGAGGGAGTACTATTTATAGTTAAAATTTATGCCAAAGCTTATAAAATATTACTCCCTCTATTCCACTTTAACTGATTTTTTGATTATTTCATACATATTAAAGAATCTAACTTTTAGTATTAATTAACAATAAAATAGATTATATTAACCTTAATTTGTTCATTGAATATACAACAAATACTCGTAGGCTCTCTACTCCAAGAGCAACTTTGAAAAAAAAATTAATTCTATCTTGATTTCTGAAAAAAAATTAATATTATAGATCACAAAAAAAGGCCAAAAAATCAATTAAAGTGGACCGGAGAGTATTATTCTTCTTCCTTTGGCGATAGAGTAAGTAGTATGACAAAAAAATTAAAATTATTTTGTGAATTAGTGTATAAAGCTACCATATTTTGTTAAAAAAAAATTATTGCATAGGGGGTATGAATATGTAAACAACAATTTATTGTGTTTTCGACTTCGCTAAGTAATATAAAGCACTGTACTAAATAATCAATTTTTTAGGATTCATTTTATATGAAGAGATTAGATCAATTTTTCACATGTAAAATATAGCATATAAAATAAAGTTATTAGTCGTTGGCTTTTCTAATTGAGTAAAGTGCAGTGTACTTGATATGGCCTTTAACTTTTAGCCATGGACCCTAACAAAAAATGGAATCAGAAATAAAATACTAAAGACGAAAAAGAAAAAGAAAAAGAAATAAAATGCTATATTAAACATTACCCCTATTGTCAAGCAACCAGAGCAATGGTCAAGGTATCTATTCAATTTTTTTGACCCAAAAACCAATTTAATGCCAAATGGAACCTTTTGGGTTAAATTGGACCAATAATACAGTGCAATTTAATTGTAGCATTCGTAAAATTCACAGATCTTTGAGAGAAAGAAGAAACTATGAAAAAATAATTGTACCAATTAATAAATGTGTAATATGTATTTCAAAATAAACTTTTCTCAGCAAGTCTTCTTAAATTGACTAGTTCGTACTTCAGAAGATATTATTTGTGATTCTACTTCAAAATAATTCTAAAACCCTTTAGCTAGTATATATATATCTATATATGTATGTATGTATATATATGTATGTATGTATGTATCATATTTTATTTTGAAAATTTTGAAATTTAGGTAAGTGCTTTTTAAATATATTTATAAAAAGAACATATTTCACTTAATTTAGTCCCTTCATGCTTACTATAACTAGTTATTTTGATTTTCTATTAGCGGCTTTAACTATAACCTCAGCTCTATTTATTGGTATGAGCAAGATACAACTTATTTAAACTGAATATATAGAAATCCTTCGGTGGGATTACGCGTATTCTATATTTACTTACATTACCAATTGTCAATTCGGATTAATATTTAGGGGTGTGGGGGGGGGGGGGGGGGAGGGGGGGAGGCACGGGCGCGTGCGTGTATAGGGGCGGAGCAAGCTTGTTACGTATGAATCCCAACGAATTAAATTTGTTTAGTATTCTTTTTAAAGTTGTATTTGTATTATTAAACTTATGAAATGTATATATATATAAATATATAATCATGAGTTCAATAATTAAACTGAACTATGAGTTCTGTGATAAGTTAAATTTTAAATTTTGGATCCGTCTCTTATGTATATATACAAATGTATTGTATATGCATGTGTATGAAGGATTCTATCCGTTCAGTCAAGGTCAATTTTCATTAAAAATTAAAGAGAAAAATTATCACAATAATGTGGTCATAATTCAATAATGCTAATAGCAATGGTCCCATACTTACTAGGACACTAGGGCCTTGTAGGGCAATAATAAAAACAGAGAGAATGTAATGTCATGACGCATGAAAATTTGACTAAATAAAGCTAAATTTCACCGAAATTATCAACATTACATTTTGGTATGATCAAAACCATTTATTGAAGAAGTTGATATAACAGTTGACTGTGACATCTAAGCCAAAAATAAAAAAGAAAAAAAAAAGTATTTTGAGTGATAGCATCACTCAATAACACTGTTACCTTCGGTGATATTTTCCTTTTGAATAATTAACTCAATTTTTTATTAATTACCACTTGTAAACCTTACTATACCATAGCCAAGCTCACACAACTTGCTATTTGTAGAAAGACATACAATAAAAGAAATACAAATCAAACTATTTCATAAGCTACTATTTAGAATCTAAATTTGTCTAATAGTATGCGAATTCTAGGAGTAGCTCGAACACAACAACTATATGCAATTTCCTTTGCATTTTGATCAAATCTTTGCTCTTCTTCTCGAATACTCTTTGATTTCTCTCCATCCAGGCTGCGTAGACTCTCTGCATACACTATCTTGAATATTTGAGCAGCCTTTGATTTTCCTTCGGCATTGTTGATGACACAATCTAAGTGGTGTTCTCAGGTTCATGCCTGCATGTGATCATATTTTATCCATCTCATAAGCTCCATCCATAATTGTTTTGTATAATCACAGTGCACAAATAAGTGATCCCTCGACTCATTATAGTTTTGGCAAAGGACACAATAAGGGTCTACTTGTAATCCCCATCTAAGCAATCGATCAGTTGTTAACAACTTCCCTTGTAACTGCAGCCACTTAATAGATTTTGCCTTTGGCCTTGCATTATTGTTGAATACTAAGTATTTCCATGGAACTCTAGTATAATCTCCCAAAAACTGCATATATATACTCCTGATTGTAAGTTCCCAGCAGCACGCAGAATTTGTCTCACCATCCAACATGCCTGTGGCGGTACTCGAATATCGTTAGTGCAATTTTTTTCTTAAGAGAAATATATATATGGGATTTCGGAACTTACTGGCCCATTAATTCATTTCGCGCTTTCTATTAAATATTTTTTAATTTACATCCTCGAATTTGAGAACTCTCGTTAATGGTTAAAGGATACGATTAATAAAAATTAATAGCATGAATCGTGTATATCAGATCAATAAATGCATGATATGTGTTTGAACATATTTAACTCTTTCACTAAATCATGATTAGAAAAAGTAAAAAAAAAAATGAGAACAGCCAAATTACCTCTACCCCAACAAGGCCATAACTCCCGTAAAAGCTCAAAAAATCTCACCAAATTCCTCCCCCATTTTATGTTTCCGTTTCTATTTCCAGTCACTCGCATTGTGCCACGATCCCCTTAGCCTGTTGCAGAGTATCTCCACAAAACCAGGGTCACGCTCTTCACATAGGCCATAGTTCTAATCTGAACCGTTCACGTAACACCTTTCGCTATGTGTCACAATCTTAAAGCCCTCAACTTTACCCTACGCCTTAATACCTTCACTTGAGCAAAAACCCCGTAATTTTTACAATAATCCGTGCACGTAATTTCCTACGTGGAATTTAATATCCTAGTCAGCAACCCACCCACCCTCGTTGTTCTTCAGCTCACTTCCCTCTATATAAACATCTCAAATCTCATCTATCATTTTAACTTCAACTTCACAAAAAACCAAAATCTGAGCGAAAAACAAAAGGAAAAATAGAAAGAGAAAATGAAAAGTCATTCATTTTTCTCCTTCACATAGTTTCCATTTTCCCGGCGATAACGACCTCTCGTCGGAAAATGAATATTCCGGCGACATATTCCTTTCTTCACAAATGTAATGCTCGTGTTTCTGTTCATTATAGTCACGTTTTCCATGAAAAAGCCTTGACCTAAAGATACACTCATTCTTTTCTTTTCCTCAACTCCGAATCCAAATTTCGGCCAATTTTTCCTTTTTTATTTAAAGTAAAAGTATGTATGACTGCTTTGATTGATTCGATGAGGTTATCTTTGATATTTGTGACGGTGATGATATGATCGGATGATGTCCAATTGTGTAAAACTGTAAACTTTGGTGCAATTTTTGGTAAAGGAAGAGGAGTAGGTGAATATTATGATGAAGCATTGATTTTAGGTGAAATTTGATTTTAATTTTTCTTGTATTATTGAGCTTTTCCTTTTTCTTCGTCTATTTGTGCGATAAAGTGAAGTTGTTTGTAAGGATTTTGGGCTGGTTTCTAGTTGAGTGGTTTCAGATGCTGAATTTTGATTTTTGATTTTGACATCATCACGTAAAGCGAGTAGGTTTTTAAAAGCTCTGAAACTTGAGCAGAACTAACACAGAGAGTATAATTAGGCTGTACGCAGAGAGAGATAGAGAGAGAAAGTGTACGATTAACAGAGGATGCCTCCGATGAAAATTCAGCCGATCGATTCTCCGACATACAGAGAATCGATCCAAAACGATACAGCAAAGCCTGTGGTGAAATCGCGACTCAAAAGGTTCTTCGATCGACCGTTCCCTAGCGTCTTACGGATTTCGTCGGCAGCAGAGAAGCCGAATGCCGCCGGCGCCGGAAATGAATTGCCTTATGGGAAAGATGGAGGAGCAGTTAATGAGTTCGAGCCGAGCTCAGTTTGTTTAGCTAAGATGGTTGTGAATTTCATCGAGGAGAACAATGAAAAGCCATCGGCTGCTAAATGTGGACGGAATCGTTGCAATTGTTTCAACGGCAACACCAATGATAGCTCCGATGATGAGTTTGACGGTTTCGCTGACTCAGTTACAAACTCCTCTTTTGGTGATTCTTCTGATACTCTCAAGGTAAGAAAAATATCACTATAACAATCAAGTATTTCTCTTTATTTCGATTCGTTGTTTCGAATTTATCTGATTAGTCCTTTTGTCCCGATATTTCAGAGCTTAATTCCGTGTGCAAGTGTTGTTGAAAGAAATCTGTTAGCTGATACCTCCAATATTGTCGAGAAAAACAAAGCTTGTAAGCGTAAAGACGATTTAAGAAAAATTGTGACCGGTGAACTCTCGAAACTTGGCTACAATGCTTCCATCTGCAAATCCAAATGGGAAAAGACTTCTTCTATACCTGCAGGTACATAATCTATTTTTTCCTTTTGTTTGTGCTTTATTTGATGTGTCAAATTTTAGTCAATTTTGTACTGATCTTTTTGAAAATTGTTCATTCAGGTGAATATGAGTACATTGATGTGATTGTGGAAGGAGAAAGAGTGTTGATTGATGTAGATTTCCGATCGGAGTTTGAGATTGCCCGATCGACGGGGAGTTACAAGGCGGTTCTTCAATCGCTGCCGTTCATCTTCGTCGGAAATTCCGATCGGCTTCTGCAAATAGTATCGATCGTCTCGGAAGCGGCTCGTTTGAGTTTGAAGAAGAAAGGCATGCACATCGCTCCCTGGCGTAAAGCCGAGTACATAAAATCCAAATGGCTTAGCCCTCACACTCGAACAAATGATACAGCCGAGAAAACAGCAACCGGCACCGACGCCGTAGCCGAAGCACAAGCCGGAGACCAGAGTGAGGTCAAGGAGAAGGAGGAGTTAGCTGAAGCTGCTGAGAGTAAAGAAATATCTGATTCTGAATTTGGAGAATTGGAGCTGATTTTTGGTGAGAAATCGCTGTCGTCCGCGTCTTTCGAGTCCAATAGCAACGAGACCAAATCGTCAACGTTGCTAACATCGCCGCCGCCGGTGAATTTTTCCGGCAGCGAGGAAGAGAAGCCTGTACTGCCGGTATTGATGACGTGGCAACCTCCGGCATTGAAGCCCAAGAGTTGCGACAGAGGAAACAAGATCGTCGTCACCGGATTGGCTTCCCTTCTCAGGGAAAAACCCTAAAACAAAGTTTTGTTTACTTTTTTCTGAAAATTTTCTAACTTTTTTCAAAAAATTTCTAGTACGTACAAATTATAAATATATAAAAATATATAGAACGATCGGCGTTTCAGATTTTCTGATCCGAAACCCTTTTTTTCAATTTTTCCGTTCTCCGTTATAATTCCTTTTTTTTGTTTTTTTGCAAGGCCTGTAATAAGAATCTAGCTATCCTTCTTGTAATAATTTTCCAAAGCATTAAAAATTGCAAAAAAGAGAGAACAAATCATTATGCATATATTGCCATTTCACTTTTTTTATTATTATTGGTAGCACTAGGCATTTTACATTTATGCAGGGTTTGTGGAATGATCGTATCTCTTAGAATATGTCGTAGTTAATCTATTCTAATTCAGATATTTGTAGCTAATTTCATGATTTGAACTCGTGATCTATAGTCTATGGAAATAGTTCCTCTATCTTTATAAGATAAGAGTAAAGTCTGCGGATATAATTTTATACTCCCCTCCACTTCACTCTTTTGTCTTGGGTAAATTTTTTCGTAATCTGATATAGCCTGTTAGATGCATATCCAAATGTTTCCTAACTAGGGAACAATATGTGTTTTCAACCTTTTTTTAATTTCACTTTTATTCATCTGAGAAAAATAATTTAGGGGTATGGAGAAGAATACATAGGAAGAAGAGAATGCAGGGTGTGGGAGGGATGACGGCAGTAACTCGTGCCATCTTGAACGCCGTGAAGAAGAGGCAAAGCGGTAAGGGGAGGAGTCATTAGAATAACGTGATGTTCTCTTTTCGTGTGTGTTCTCAAATGGAGTAACTTTCTCTCTTCCCCCCCACCCCCCAAATTTTTATTCTTTTTGAAGTGATCAATTTTTTTGTTGCTGAATTTCTATGTCTAATATATGAAAATACGATTCAATTTCACCACGTATCCGTTTTAAGCCTAGATTGGCATAAATTTATCTTTCGGACTACGTCATATCGAATTCGAAAGCGCGTGTATCATGTAAACTTGTATTATGTTTGATAAAATTCTTTCATTTCTCTCTCATTCCTATGTGGGAATTCACTTAAAGTGACATGTACACCTCTTATTAGGAAGTTTGCCGGCCTAAAAACTTGTTAGTCCTACTTAAATCGCCCTCATCCACCCGCCTTCCGTCTCAAAAAGTTATCGGGTGTGACTGATTGGATGAGATTTCTTCAATCTCAATCATAAGTATGTCGCATGAGAATAAAAAAAGTTCCTAGTAGAAAATAATTTCCCATGCTAATTTAAATTAGTCGGGTATTTTTTCTTAGATAATGTGAATCTCGATTTGTTGAATTAGTGAATTAATACTAATGATTGTAAAACAAAAAGGTAAATGATTGAAAATTTAATAGCTCTACTAAGAAGTTTTTTCAATTAAAATAAGATCAATCGAGAAAGATAGGTAAATGATGAGGTATTAACATATTGTTGTGCTGATTTCTTTTTCACATATGTGAAAAGAAAAGAAAATCTTGAACTTACTCGTTACTCTACCTCGGCTTGTATTTTCCATTTTAATTTTACTCGATTATTTTTATATTTAGCATATTCTTTAATGGTGTGTGAGATTATGTTATGTGGTGAACAAACTTGATCTTCTTTTAACTGTGTGAGCTTTTTAGAAAGAGAAAGTAAAAGTTACAAAAATTAGTGAGCANTTTGAAGCTGGAAAGTAGTTTTAGAACCTCTGAATTGAGCCCTCTGTAAGTGTTTTTTTTTTTTTTTTTGCCTAAATCTGCAGAGGAAAACTGATTTTACAAATTTGACAAATACTTGATGGGGCCTAGATGCTGCCTGATTGATACAATAAAAATAACCTATACTCTCTGTGTGGTGTCAGCAAACATGACTTGCCATTTGGAAAGCTGTGTTAAATCATTGAAAAATTCTGAGGTGGGTGCAAAACAAAGCTGGAATCAGGATATATATATATAAGAAGGAGATGCTTTTTTGAAATGTTTCTTTTATTTTATTATTGAGGTAAATTATACTCCCTTCAGTACGCTTAAACTTTTTTTTTTTCGTTTGGTACTTAATATATAAGTAAATAGAGGGACTATTGGAAATGTAAAATAGCAGTTTTTCTTGGTATTGTTTTTATTTTGAAGTCTAGCTTTTGAGTCCGAAGGAGCTAGAGGAGCTGTAATTTATCTTTACTCTGGTTGAATAAATCTTTTGACATTTGACGCAAAAAAAACTTAATTTTTTTTTGGTTGTTTTCACATATAAAAAAATTAGATTTTTAGCATTAATTCACAATAAAATTGACGATATTAACTTTAATTTGTTTGGCAATTGAAAATATAACAAATACTATAAGCTTTTTTTATCTCCAAGGATAAACTTTGAAAAAAAATTAATTTCTTCTTAATATAATGAAAAATTAAATATTAATAGGGATATAAAAATCAAAACATTATTAAAGTGAACTGAGGACAGTTATCCTTCTCTCTCTCTCTTCTCTTGGGTCGGATTTTTGTTTTAATAGGTTAATTTTTCGTTTGCAAGGTTAGGTTTTTATTTAGGCTAGGGAGGTTAATAGAGCATTCTTTTTTTTCAGTTCTATAGAAAGTAGTAGTCTCGTATTCCTTTCTGTCTTAGATTTCCTATTACTATTTGCTTTTTTTTTATGTTATTTTTTTGCTTCAATTTTCCTCTTATCTTTATTATTGCTATTATTTCTCTTCAATGGCTTTCTTAATATTGATTTCCTTTCCACTAGTGTCGGGATTTTTGGTTTTTTTATGCTGAGAGTCTATTGAAAATAATCTCCTCTATCTTTACAAGGTAAGAATAGAAATCTGCATACACACTATCCTTTCGAGATCTTACTTTGTGGAATTACAACCTTATTATTTATTGTTGTTAGGTTTTTGATGGCTATACAGTTTGTAATATTGCTAACTTTTCTTTGTTGAGAATTCACAATTTGAATATATCTCTAACATTAGTTGACTTTCATTTTCCGCAATTATTAGGTCAAGTCAGGTGTTCAAATTTTTAAAATAATTAATGTAAGGGTAAAGAATTCTCGGTCAAGACCTCTTATTTTCTTTAAATATTCAATATGTTTTCTTTTGGAAATTAAATATGGATTTTTGCTCTTCTTATCAATACTATTAAGAAAGTTAAAAGATTTACTTCCTTTACGAAAAGTTATTTTGTGTAACTTATAGGTCACGGGTTCCGTGGAATCAGTCATTAATGCTTGCATAGGGCAGGTGGCCTTCATCACATCGCTTGATACGACTTTTTCCTAAACCCTGTGTAAACGTGAAATACTTCGTGTATCAGCTGCCTTTAGCCCAACATTGGCGAATATTAAGTTACTAATTTAGTTTTAATACCATTTGCTATTACTTATTAGAGTTGGCCTGTTTAATAGTGAAAACTACATAAAATTGAATTGCTATAGAAGAAATCTTAAGGCGAAGGTATAATTAATTAGATTTATAAATATTAAATCCTTTTATTTCTTGAAGGTTTTACACGTGTTGGCTTAGTGTATCCGTGTGGAGATATTGTTCCCATGGTTGTTGGTGGGGACCAAGTTTGAAAATGATATGTTTCCCTATTCCCTATTCAACGTAATTAACTCCTGTTTGCACAAAATTGCACGTTGTCGTTTAGTGGGTTTTATTTTTAAGTACATTGTACTACTTTCTTTTGATTTCCTATCTTGCCCTTGATATTCGTAATTGGAATCCGATTAAAATTCTACATCTTGCAACGAATTTTTTAAATATTGGGGCTCAATTGCTCCTAGAGCTATCAAATATGGGCGGATCAGGCTAAAGCTCAGCCCAGTTCCATGTGGGCTTTTTAACAATTGACGAGCTGGGCTGGACTAGGCTAGTCCGATATTTTTAAATGGACCTTTTATAATGGGGTAGCCCCACCAACCCTAATGTGGGCTACGGGCCCCTCACGAGTCCAGCCCATTATTTTTTTAAATATAATCTTATATTTTTTTCCTTAAGTTTCTAACCTAAAAAAGAATAAAATATTTAAAGTTAAAAAATAAACTTATTGGAAAAATATCACAAACTTAATAACTTTTATATTTGTTCCAATATCACAGTAAAACTAAAAAAAAATAAAAAACACTGACTAATAATTTTATTCACTAAAAATCAAACTCAATAAAAGTATTCAAGAGAATGTCCATACGCTTATGGATATCCAACACATTTGAATGCCGCTTGTGAGAATGTTTGTCTTAACAATCTTCACTTTCATCTACATCCTACAATTTTGTATGCAATATTAATTAGTTAAAATATTAGAATAATTAAATTTTTTAAAATTAATTAACGTTTTAAGACTTTAATCTTTCAATATGATGGCTTAATAAACTTTAAGCTTGGGATACTCTGATGTTTATTTTTTTGTGTCATATACTTTTATATTTTTGATATTTTAAACTACGTATTTTTATAAGGCCGCACGCCGCCCAGCCCAGCCTCACTCAAGGCCTCACGGGCCACGAGCTTACCTCGGGCCGGGCTTAAAAGTCTCATTTTTAAATGGGCTCCAAAAATTCTAAGCCTAGCGCTGCTAAATGCACGGCTGGGCTGGCTGCCCAACGGGCGCAAGCCCATTTTGACGGTTCTGATCGCTTTCTACACAAAGACGATTCATACTTCTCGAACCCCGAGACCTCTAATTCAGAATCAAGAAGTTACTTACCACTCCATCACTATATTTGTTTTGTTATTTACGTATACCACTATGATGGTATGCGTGCATAGAATACAGTATTCTTATTCTTTTTTTAGTTTTTTTGACCATTTACGGTAATGAAAGAAGAAAACTATTTACATTAAATGGTGCTACTTTATTAATAAAAACTAATGCACGAGTAGATATCATTTAATAATGATCAATGAAATAATTATATAAAATACATATCTTGTAATTACTTAATTAAATTTGCTATAAGTGTTGTATATTGTACAATTTTCTCCCGTAAAAGTTCAGGAATTATTTCGATTGCCCTGTTTAAAGGATTCATTTGGTTGACATATTAGGTTATACAAAAATTATTTATACAATAAATAATAACGAATAAGATTATTAATAAAAATGATCAATGATAATAAAATTATAATATAGTAATTAATAATAAAAAAGGAATTATGAGATAGAGATTTACTTTACTTAAATGGTATATTTGTTTTTAATATGTATAAATTTGTATGGGATGGTGTTGGACATGGTAGATGATCCTAATGAATTGAAAGTTATT